TATAATGGAAAGTAGTTGTTGTTGTTTTGGTACTGAGGATTGAACCCAGGGGTGCTTAACCACTGAGCCACATCCCAGCCCTTTTTAGTTTTTATTTTGAGATAGAGTCTCAGTAAGTTGCTTTGGGTCTTGATAAATTGCTAAGGCTGGCCTCCAGCTTGCGATTCTCTTGCCTCAGTCTCCTGAGTCTGTGGAATTACAGGTGTTTACCTCCATGCCCGCTGAAAAGTAAGTTTTTAAAAAAGAATCTCCAGGGGCTGGGGATGTGGCTCAAGCGGTAACGCGCTCTCCTGGCATGCGCGGGGCGCTGAGTTTGATCCTCAGCACCACATACAAATAAAATAAAGATGTTGGGTCCACCAAAAACTAAAAATAATTAATATTAAAAAATTCTCTCTCTCTCTTTTTTTTTTTTTTAAAAAAAAGAATCTCCAGGTTTTATCTATAGCTTTAGTCATGTGTGTTCTACTCAGCAAGGAGAAATCATATAAAATATAAATTGACAATACTTGCTCATAGAAGAATTACAGGTCATGGAGGTAGAAGAAATGAAAGTGATAGAAAGTCACCCTTCAGACACCACAGGAGAAACTGCTGCATCCAGAAACTCTGAAATAAGTGGGCAGAAGTTTAAGGAGGAAAGGAGATTTGCTTAGCCTCCAGGCATGTTCCCCTGAAGAAAAGACTCCTGCCTTTACCAAGGACAGGCCTACGGAGCCCCTATACTGGCAGCAAGGGGAGCTGCACTTGATGAGACTTACTGAAACCATACTTGCCTGACACAGTGTGCTGGGAAGACCACTTCCCCTCTTGCAGGCCTGCTTGAAGCCCCAAACCTCAGCTGCTGGTGAGAAAGCATCAGGCAGGTCCAAATCCAAGGACGTTCTGCAGAACACAACCAAAATGCTACAGAAGTATCAAGATCACAGGAGACAGGAACAGGTGGAGGGACTGCACGTGCTGGAGGAGACTCAGGAGGCATTAGAACTAAATGTGTCTTAGGACCATGGGCAGCCTCCAAGGACAGAAATGTGCATTAGAGGGAAACTGGGACACTTGGAAAGAAGTCAGTAGCTCAGTTAATAGCATTGTGCAGTGTTTCTGCGTCTTAGTTTTGATAACTCTACCGTGGTTCTATGCAGTGAAGGGCATTCCCAAGTAATTCTCTTGGAAGTCAAGAATTAACTTTTTAAAGGGACCATGTGTGTGAATTGAATGGAAAGGTCTGTGCAGTGCCATCTAATGGCATCATCCAGTAGTGCAGGCTACACACAAGTGAAATCTCCCAAAATACCAAATATTTTTATTTTGGCTTTCTGATGGAATAATATTGCCACAGCACAGTAATAATCTTCTTGGTTTACAGTCTGCTGAATCTAACCTAACATGTTATTGACTTACATTTTTGTTACCAGTCTCAGTTATTGAGCCCAGTGGTCATGTAGGGCTGAGGAGTGGGATGAGAAGTTCAGGGTTCTCGATTCTGTGCAACATGGCTTGGAGATCCTGGGTTAAGTTTTACAGATGTGTGTCTATTTTGCCTCCAGCATTCACAGGCTGCCATTTTCTTTTCTTACAGCTTCGAGGCTTCTGGGATGCCTTTTTTTCTGAGATAATTACTATTTCTGTTTTTTTTTTTTCCTCTAGTATTTTGTTAGCAGAAATCATTGGTTTTGAAGCGTTCGCACCTGTACTTAATCCGTTTGCTGAAATGACAGTGCCCTGGCCCACCAGTGGCATAGTTAGGCATGGCATGGGTGGTGGTTGTGACCGAGAGCTCTGCTGCCTCGGCTCTCACTCCCTGCTCTTTTTCTAGTGGTGCGACTCTGGGTGGCCCTGTCTTCTTAGCCTTAACTGCCTCCTGTGTAAAATGGGATTGATCATAGTGCCCGCCTCATGGGTACTTTTGAGGACTAAGTAAACTGTTATGAAAAGCTTCGAGTGGCACTCAGGGACTTGTATTTGTTGTTACTGTTGTCACAATGCTGCTATTATTCTGCCCACCACGTCCAACTTGAGTTTGGATACAAAGGGGGCTTTTTCTAGTACCCGAACTTCTTGTAGCCCATCTTGCTTCGCAGCCTGAATAGATGAAGGGAGGACTTCACTGATGATTCCTTCGGCAAAGAGGCTTCCCTGCTCCATCCTTGACAGTTATGAAAAGGGAAAGCTGTTAGCTTCAAAATTATTTACCTCACCACATGAAATAGCCTTGAAGAGAACACTTTTATAGCTTGATGCTATACATTCTGGGATGCAGGGTACATGTATTAAAATGTGTTAAAAACAAATAGAACTGAAAATGAGCCATGCCAGGTATTTGACCAATTGACTGCTGCTGAATAAAGAAGAGCTTGCTGATGGGGGTGGGAGGGATGCAAATGTGTCCCCACATGTTGGAGAAATCATTATAGTCATCCCCTCAGAGCCCAAGCCATGAAGGAGATGAGAGCCCCTGATCTAGGATAACCAGTGTACTCTCTCTGATCTTTCCAAGGACTCCCAGGTTTCCCAGGCAGCAACCAGCAAGCTCTGTGGACTGTAGAAGACCCTGTTTGGGGGACCTTAGAAGCTTCTCTTGTTGTCCTTGTGCCTATACAACCACTTAGAAGAATAAGGAAGACAGTCAAGGCAGCTTGGCTCATTTCAGGGATCAAGGTCCAGGAGGTGGAAGTGCCAGGATTATTCCTGGGCCCTCCTTCTGCCATGAAGGGAAGCTAGAGGGAAGCCTCCTGGTGGTCAGGGGCCAGGAGCCCTAGAGTGTGTTGAGGTGCCCTTGTGTCTCAGAAGGCCTGTTTTTGCTCACCCTGGGCTGATCACAAACGAGTCTCAGCCATAGCAGCTGGGGTTAGAACAGCAGTGGCTGTCATCTAGCTCCCCTGCCCATGTGCTCTCCTGGAGCCATCCCCCCCGAGGTGGCTGTGCCATGTGGTTCACTGGTGCAGGAATCCTCTTGCCAGTGAGTGCTTCTGGGCAGGGATGGGATGCTGGCAGCAACAAGGGAGATGGAAAGACCTTCAATGGGTTGGGAAGTTTCACAGGAGGATCAGTGCTTGGCAAAAAAACAGGTTGTAAGATGTTTTAATCCAGATCAAAATTAAACTGGAAAATAGTTAAAAGGGAAATTGCTAAGGTGGGGACCATGGGGAAGGAAACAAACCCAACCCACTAAATTGCTGAGGCCCCATTGTGTGGCAGGACCCTCCTGGTGCAAAAGGGGCCTCTTGCTTCCAACCAGGAGAGACTGTGTCTCCACCAGGGGTGGTGGATTTCTATTTTTTTGTTTTGTTTTAAAGTTTGAAGAAAGAATCACACTCACACTGGACATTGTGGTGCGTGCCTATAATCCCAGTGGCTCAGGAGGCTGAGGCAGGAGGATTGCTGGTTCAAAGCCAGCCTCAGCAATTTAGTGACACCCTAAGCAACTCAATGAAGACCCTGTCTCTAAGTAAAATACAAAAGAGATCTGTAGATGTAGCTCAGTGGGTAAGTGCCCCTGGGTTCAATACCCAGTACAAAAAAAAAAAGAATTGTACCCTCCCTCCCTCCCTACTATGCCCCTGCCAGGATAGGAGCTAAGAAAGAAAGAGAACAGCAAAGAGCCACATTTTTCAAGTGTAATGAGATGATCTGCTGGTTCCCGCCTGGGGCAGCCCTGCCAAGAGGGCCTCTAGTCTGCATCTGCAGCTGGTTCTCCTGCTACCACCCATGTCCTCTCTTGTCCAACCCTTGCCCACAGCACACAGTACCATGAGTCAGTTCTCCCTACTGGGCCAGGATGTAGCCTCATAATCCTTCTTGACTCAGCATTCTGTGAAGTCCGTACCGTGTGAGTAGAGCTGGGGTACAAAATGAAGCTGCTTTTGAAACACCTCTGACTTGCTTTACATGTAATTCCTTGTTTTTTTTCTCACTTAAAATAATTCCTTGAGGTAGATGTACCCCAATTTACAGATGAGGAAACTGAGGTTCAGAGAAGTCCCATATCTATAAGGTGGTATGAAGAAGGTTCAGTCTGTGGCAGTGTAACTCCAGAGCCAGTGCCTTCAACCACTGGCTGATGTCTGCATGTGTCAAAGTGGTCAGAGAAATAGCTGTTTACTGGTTTGCTGTCTTGAGGAGATTGGTTGAAGTCTCTGAATCCAGAGGGTTTGGTTCAGACTAGGTTCTCAAACCCTAACAAAAAAATTTAGCTGCTATAACAAAAAAATCAACCAGGTGACATTAAAAAAAGAAAAGAAAAAAAAAAAACAACAGTGATTTGTTTCCTATAGTTTTAGAGGCTGGAAATCCAAGATCAAGGTGCCAGCAAATTCAGGGTCCAGTGAGGGCCTGCTTCCTGGCTCACAGATAAGCTTCCATCCAGTAGAAGTGATCAGGGAGTTTATAAGGACACTAATTCCATCGGTGAGAGCTCTCCCCTCAGGGCCCAGTCACCTCCAGAGGGCCCTGCCTCCTCTTGGGGATCAGGATTTCAGCATGTGAATCCTGGCTGAGGGCACCGGAGCATTCAGGCTCAGCAGAGTCTGTGTCAGCAGTCCTCTCCTGGCCTCTCCCCTACCCCTGGCGGCCATGGTCCGCTCTCGGTCTCTGTAGATCCTCCTTTCTGGGCTTCTCATAGGACGGGATGGCCTCTTTGGTCGGGCTTTCTCAACAAGCGCATTGTCTTCCGGGGTCTTCCTGCTGTCGTCATGTCAGTGCCTCCTTCTTTTCTATGGCAGAACAATATCCTTGTTTGTAGAACTCAATTTACTGGTCCATTCGCCATCAGCAGGTGTCTGAGTTTCCGCTCTTTGGCTGCCACGGGCATCATGCTCAGGTTTCCTGTTTCCGTTTTTACCTGGTCAATTTGTTTCCAGCTCCTCCGGTGTGGCGCAGGAAGCCTCTCATTTGGATACAGCCATCTGTGTGATAGCAGATTACAGCAGTGGACTTGTTTGAGTCTCACATCATGATCGTGCTTTCTGGATATGTTCCCATGCCTTGTGTTTTTCTTGTAGACCTGTCCGTCATGTGGAATTACATTTGTTCCCAAATCTGAAGCTGGTGCGGAAGGAGCAGCTGTGCAAAATGGCTGTCAAGACGAGCCTAAGACCAGCACCAAGGTAACAAGCTCATGCCTGTTGTTCCTGTCAGTTCCTCCCCAGTACCTCTCCTAAGGTGATATTCCTGTCTTGTCGACTTCTCAATTCTGAGAATAATTCCTCTTGGGTAATAGCGTTCCAGACCTTCTGGTTTTGAGGGTTTTGAGTAACATAAAGAACAGGATAACGGGGCTGGGATGTTCTCAGTGGTGGAGCGAGTGCTTCGTGTGCACAAGTCCCGGGTTCTACCCCAAGCAATATAAAGAACAGAATAGAGCAGAGCTAACCATGTGAAGTAGAGTAACTCCGTGCTGAACCAGATGGGACTCCCTTCAGGGCAGCGAGAGTGTGGGAACACGCAGGCCAGTGTGGCGGGAGGTTGGTGGCTTGGAAGGCCTACTCAACTTCTGGTAGAATACAGATGTGCAAAGGGAAGAAGGGCCTGTGCCAGATGAAGAGCCCACCCAAGAGAAGCGCAGAGGCAGGGTGAGCAGCAGGGGGCTGTGGAAGAACCTTGTCAGGACTGGAGTAGAAAATAAGTAAATCCCAAAGCCCAGAGGTTTGGGAAGCCTTCTGAAGGCCACTCCCCTAGGAGGCCCTGTCTGTCATCCTGCACGCTCCATCATTTACCAAAGGACTTGTGAGCACGTCAGTTGCCTCTCTCAGCCACAGAAGCTCCCAAATATAAGTCTTGTTTGTCCAGCTTCTCCTAAGCCCCAGCCCCACAATCCTGGGACTCCTTTCCCTGTACCCATCCTTCATCTCCTCGGAGGCCCCCCAGTCCTTCCACCCAGCCTCCTGGGGCCCCAGTTCTTGGTGAGCAGAATCCCTGAATCTTGGTTCTTGCCTTGGCTTTACAGCTATCCTCACAGTCTTAGCCTCTGCTGCCTGAACACCTGGACATGCCCTTTGACAGAGTGTGTGGGGCGGGGGGAAGCAGGGTGGCAGAACGTTGTGTGGGGTGGCAGCAGATTTGCCAGGCACCCAGTGAGGTGCAGGGCTACAGCTAGCCAAGGGCCAGGTGGGGTGAACATGCGCCCTGGCGCCACTTCACCAAGTGCACTCGCTTGTTCCCTCTGTCTTGAGGCAGGCTGCCGGAGGACCGAATTCCAAAGCCCAGAATGGACTTCTGAGCCCTCCCCAAGAAGAGAAGCTCACCAACAGCCAGACCTCCCTGTGCGAGATCCTTCAGGAGAAGGGCAGGTGGGCGGGCGTGAGCCTCGACCAGTCAGCCCTCCTCCCACTGAGGTTCAAGAACATCCGTGAGAAGACAGACGCGCATTTTGTGGACGTTATCAAAGAAGACAGGTGAGAAAGCGTGGCCACCACCCAGTGGGTAGGGTTTTACAGGAGAGGTGGCTCCCTTGTTCTGAGTTGCCCCGTCTGTGAATTTCTCTTCCTTCATCAGTATATTGCTTTGTTTTTATCCTGAAGTAATTTGAAACATAAAAAGTTATACAAATGCCATTTAGAATTCCGTATGCTCTGCCTTAGCATTTTGTGTTAGTTTTGCGGTCCTCCCTTTCCCCACTCTGAAATGTACTCTTCTCCAAAGCATTTGACAGTACGCTGGATGCATTGTGTCCTTTACTCTTTTAGACTGCCTCTCCCAGAATGAGGATGCTGTAGTACACAGCCGAGTTGACAAGGGCAGGGAATTCAGCATGGTGTGACATTCCATCTAGCCTGAGGCCCCGGTTCCAGTTTGTCTTTGGCAGCCCTGTTGCCTCCAGTCCAGGATCACGTGTGTGTCACTTAGTTGTCAGGCCTCTTTGCTCCTAAAATCTGGGGTGCTTCCTTAGCCATGCCTTGTTTTTCATGATGTGACAGTTTTAAAAATAAAACATTCCTGAAGTTGAGCTCGTGAGGTATTTCCTTATGGTAAGGTTCATGTTCTGTGTGCCTGGCCAGAGAGCACAGAGGTGGCACCATCCTTCCAAGGCTCGCATGCAGAGGCCCATGCGGCCCACTGGTTCCTCGTTGGTGATGTTCTTTTGTGTGTGAGTGGTACTGGAGGTTGAATCCAGGGGGGTGTTAACCACTGAGTCACATCCCCAGCCCTTACTTAAAATATTTTTATTAGTTATTGATGGACCTTTGTTTATTTATATGTGATGCTGAGAATCAAACCCAGTGCCTCACACATGCTAGGTAAGCGCTCTACCACTGAGCCACAACCCCAGCCCTCCCCAGCCCTTTTTGTTTTTTATTTAGAGACAGGGTCTCGCTGAGTTGCTTAGGGCCTCACTAAGTTGCTGAGGCTGACTTTGAACTTGTGATCCTCCTACCTCAGCCTCCCATGCTGCTGGATTATAGGCATGTCCCACCACTCCTGGCATAATATTCCTTTTGATCAATCCCACAAGATGTAGCCAGTTTCTCCAATTTGTGGTTATCATTTTCTCCCTATGATTAATAAGCAATCTGTGGAAAGATACTTTAGTGTCTATTATTCCTATTCCTTATCAGACTTCCCTAGATTTAACATCCATTGAGTCTTGACTGAAACTGCTTCACTGTGATGTTTCAGTATGGTGGTTTCCAACCTCAGCACTTCCAGCACATTTACCATTTGGTGCTCAGCATCTGCTATAAAGAATGGCCCTCCATTTGCTACCCATCCATCTATTTTTTACTTTTTATTTTTTGCAGTACTAGGAAATGAACCCAGGGGCTACATCCCTAATCAGCTACATCCCCAGCTCTTTTTGTGTTTTATTTTGGAGATATTATCTTGCTAAGACTGGCTTCAAACTTGCTATCTTCCTGCCTCAGCTTCCTAAATCACTGGGAGAACAGGCATGCACCACCATACCACTCTCCATCCATCCGTTGTTAGCCTGAACTCATGCACTCCTGTTTTATTTCATGGACTATAATCCATCTTGGTACTTTTTATGTTGGGATGCCCGATCTGACCAATCAGAGCTCCCTTTGGACCGGTGCCTGGGTCCTTTTGACTCCACCCCTTCATTTGTATGGGGCAGTCACTTTCTCGCAGAGCAGGGTGTTCCAGGCTCATTTTCTGCCTCCCCGGCCCCAGCTCAGGAGCACTGGCTCCTTTGAATGAGGAATAGTTCTTATATATATTAGCTATTAGTGTCTAATTTATGTTATAGTCCAAGGACATACTCTGTGATTTCAGTCCTTTTACATTGGTCAGGACATGTTTTATGTCCCCACATGTGATCTGATGGGTGAACTTATCATTGCACTCAAAAAGAATGTGAGCTCTGTACTCATGGGATGCCGTGACCCAGGATGTCAGTTAAGTCCTGGTAGTCAGTACAGTGGTTTAGATCATCTGTTTCTTTATTCATTTTCTGTCTATTATTCTGTTTTTTTTTCTTTTATTGGTGCATTATGGTTGTACATAGTACTCAGGTTCATTTTGGCATAATCATACATGCCTGGAATTTAGTTTATTCCATTTCAGTCCCTGGTGCCGGCCCCCTTACGTTCTATCAGTTGTTTAGAGAAATCTATTAAAATTCTAACTGTGGTCTGGGGTTGTAGCTCAGTGGTAGCCACACCCCAGACCACAGTTTAGTGGTTATTCTAGGAATTACAGATATACTTCCTTAAGTGTCTGTGTGATCTTTGTGGAATTACTGTTGTATCACTTCATTTTAAATGAAGAAATCTCACAGTGTTATAGGTTCCCATTCTCTCCTTCCTCTCGCTGTAATTGTCACAGGTATCAGTCACACCTGCATTCATCATAACCCTCACCTTGACCCAGCCTCGTGCCCTCAAGGTGCTTTCTCCTGACTGCTTTCCTCTTGAGTGCACCCATGTTTTCCTGTCTTTTTCTATGCCTAAAATTTTGGATTGTGTTGTAGACTTTGTGTGTAAAACTTAAGAAACCTGATTTTTGTTAATATTACTCTGAAGATGATCTATTTTTTGTTTCAGCAGTCAGTTAACTTATCTGAATTCAAACTTTAACTACCATCTCCCTGTTCTTTTAGCTGTAAGTGGGCTGCTTGTAGTCTGCCATGCCTCTGCATGACCTACAAGGATCAGCCAGAGATTTGAGCACTTTACATGCCGAATTTGGGGATCTCTTTCCCTAATTCTCTCCCTTCTGATATTAATAACCTCATCTTTCAACTATGGTCACCCCAAAATTCATTTTCCTTTTTTTTTTTTAAGCCAGTAAGACTGGTGACTTTTCTGAATTTACGCTACCCTACATATGGTGCTGACTAATGTCTGTCTTCAGGCCACACACACACACACACACACACACAACACACACACACACACACACACACACGAGACATTTACCTGGTATTGTTCCTTTGTTCCAGGAATAACACCCCTCTATTCTGGACCTGCCCTGGTCCCTCTCTTGTGCTTATCAACAGTTGTTTTTTGGTGTTGTTGTTGCTGTTTTGTTTTGTTTTTGTCACAGACACAATGCCTTTATTTGTTTTTATGTGGTGCTTAGGATCGAACTCAATGCCTCACACATGCAAGGCAAGTGCTCTACCACTGAGCCCCAGCCCCAGCCCCTGTTTTTGTATTTTTTTCCCAGAGCTGTAGTTGTTGTCTGTGAGAGGATTGGTCCAAAATGAGTTACACCCATCCCCAGAGGTGGAGCTTCCCGAACTGATTTATAAGGAGCTGTACAGCTTACCGCAGGATCACTTCTGCCCCTCAGGGGTCAAAATGTGGCCACCACACACTCTCCTTACAGCTGCTCTGCTGTCCCTGTCTGTGCTTCCTGACTGGAAGGAAGGAAAGAGAAGCCCACATCAGGGGACAGAGACTCTCTTCTGAGTCTAAGAAAGGCCCATGTCATTAAACACTCACAGAAGAGAGGTCCCCTCTGCATCAGGGGAAGGGAGGCTTGCACGGCAGGGCCTCCCAGGTGCCAGGCACATGCCAGGCACTCCTGTGTCCCGCCTGATGTCATCCTAGTGGTTATTGTTACGAGGCAGGCTGCTCTCCACAGCTATATTTGCCTTCTGATATCATGTTAACGTTCCCTTTAATTTGTAGTAATTTCTGCAGTTTAAAAAGGATCTTACTATTTGCTAGCAATTCATAAAAAAAAATGAAAGAGTCATGTAAAGCATATTTGATTTCTCTGCTATTAAAATCATTGAGCTTTATCATCTTTCAGGTTTCAGACAAAATCTGCATATGTGACAATAGCACCAAAATTACACTAACTATCAACACCATTTTGTGCTAACAACCTGTTAGCTCTCATAGTCATAATTACTGTCAGTACTCTGGATGACAGGACAGCTGGTTCTGAATTACATTTTCATTTGAAGCCTCCAAATCAATACAAGTACTCTCAGTACAGGGATCTGCTGGCTCTTCAGAAAAGATCTTTTCACAAGACAAAGAAAGCTGTCTTTGTATCTTGTAATCCGGGATATTAGGAATATATGTTCAAAAACAAGGTACTAATGATGTGTATTATGATTGTGGCCATGGTCACTCTTTAATGGACGTGAAATGGAACATGTGGTTATACGTAGGAACACAAAGGACTTCCCAGAGATAAGTTTTAAAGGGGACAGGAGCAACACCTATTGCATAGTGGCTCTCAGATGCAGGTTTGTGATGTGCTCTATGAGTGGTGTTTTCATAGCTGATTGTGATCTGATAGGATGATTGTGCCAGGTGTTGATCAATTCCATTTGTTATGTCTTCTAGCCTGATGAAGGATTATTTTTTCAAGCCACCCATTAACCAGTTCAGCCTCAACTTCCTGGATGCGGAGCTGGAGCGCTGCTACAGGACCAGCTATCAGGAGGAGGTGCGCTCTTCATCTCTCCATAGAGCCCGTTGTTCTTGTGGGCAGCTCACCATCCATTCTGTGCTTTAGTGAGTGGCAGGAAAATGAAGGCTGGTGTTAATTTCCTGCAGTCTATAAGCCCTAAATTGCAGATGTGTGTTAATTTATCTTTGCAAGGGAGAAAAACTTCAACCTTTCTGTGGTCCTGTATCTTAAAGACCAAGCTTCATGGTCGCTAGACCCTCTCCTTTGCAGTTTGTACCTCATGGTGCCTGCCCTGGGCATGCCTGCTCTGGGGTCATGAGCCACACTCCTCTCCCCAGAACTCTGTTTCTTTCTTCCCTGGAGGTGGGCCCAGGAGCTCACAAAGCCTTTTCCTCTTGACACAAAACATGCTCACATCCCTCCTACCCTGGCACTGCCTTAGCCTCTGTTGTCCTCGAACACTCAGCTCACATGTCATTTCTTTCAAAAAAACCTTCCCTCACCTTAAACTGGATTTTACTTCCCCTTTATTTTTTTTCTTTATGTGTATTCCATGTTGGAATTATGCTCAGATGCCTCCTCCCTGACAATTCCCTCATTACCCACACTCAGCACAACCCGCCCCACCTCCCCACACACACCTGATTGCTAATAGGGTCCTTGAATAAATGCAAGAATCTGGAGCCTGCTTGGGGTTCTGACAGCATGTCCTTGAATTTTTTCTTTTGGGCCAGAACCTGACCTCCCCCAGCATTCAAGTCAAAAGTGCACACTGGCCCAATCCTAGGACCAAAAGGGCTTTTCATTCAAATTCCATACACTCATTCTGCAAATCTTTATGTCCAGGCACTGGCCCAGACTCCTGAGAAACCATGGGAGCCAGAGAGAGCCAGTTTGTGCCTCATGGGTTTGGAGGCAATACCTTCTATCAGCCTCCAAGGGACAGTGGCTATCAGTTAACATCCCATGCACAGGGTCTGCAGTGCACCCATGAGCTGGTCACTTGGTAGCCTGTGAGGCAAAACAGGATCCAATTTACTCTTCACAAATAGCCCTGTGTGGAAACTTGTGAATATTCCTATTTTACCGAAGAGACAGCTAAGGCTGAGAAAGCCTAAGCAGAGGCCCACAATCCCACAGGGAGGGTGGACACCTCAAAGCCAGCATCTCAGCCACACCCCATTCTGTGCTGTGGTGACCCCAGATGGAAGGCACATTTATCAGCCATTTCTCTAGGCACTAAACATTTATTGAGCATCCGCTCTGCCTGGTTTGGTTCATGGTGCTAGAGCATACTGATGAAGATACCCTGGTAAGAGAGCAGTAATTAGAAATAACAATGCAGAGCCATGGGCCTAGTCGTGCCCTGCAAGGAGACGGTGAGGCAGCCGCCCCAGAGGGAGGCCCAGAGGGAGGAGACTCCGAAGCCCACTCCAGTAGGAAGACCAGGAACTAGCCAGATGAAGGAGGAGGGAATATTCCAGAGGGAGGGACTAGCCCCTACAAACCTTAGATAGGAAAGAGCCTGGTGTAGCCAAGGAGTTTCAGGTACCTCCAAAGGGAGGGCACCTGATGGGCAGGGTCCAGATGATGACTGCCCATGCAATGAGCGTTATGCTGAAGGCCAAAGTGGTCGCTTGGCCCCATCAGATTGTGTGTCATGAAGATCCTGGGTCATGGAAGGTGATGGAGCTGGACAAGATGGGTGGGAAGCTGTCACTGAACACAAGGCCTGTCTGAGACCTGCCTTGAGACAGGGTAGAGAGGAGAGAGACACAGGAATGACTGTCTTCCAAGCCACAATGGTGTTGGGGAGCTGGCTGTACCCAGTACTCCACATGGATGTTCTCTGTAAGCATCCCCACCACCCATGAGGTGTAGGCACCCATTGTATCCCTGCTTTCAGAAAGGAGACCTGGGCATAAGCAGGTTGGGTAACAGGGACAAGTTGTCACAGCAAATAGTGGTGAAGGGCTGTGAATACCTAAAACAAGGAGAGTGGGGCCTTTACCCCCAGTCCCCACATATGGGGAAGTCAGAAACCTCAGCACTGAGGTGGGAAGAAAGATCCCCCACACTGTGACTATCCTGCAAGAGCCTCGCAGCAGACCCTGAGCCCCTACTGCCCAACCTGGGCCAACTGCAGCAAGCCGTGGCCATTCCCTTGAGCTAGGTAGAGCCCCAGAGAGAACAAAGTCAGGGTAGGCAGCCTCACCCCAGAGACTCTGGGGGTCTTTTGAGGGCACTTCAGAAATCAAGACCTACTCGCAGAGCCTCTGAGTTTCTTGGAGGGACTTTAGAACCTAGCCCTGCCCTCAGGTTGCTCTTCCCATTCCAAGCCTGGTATCACAGCCAGCCCACAGCCTCAGCCCCAAGCGCTGAACTCCCCTTCTCCAGGCTTGCCCATCTTGGGGTCCTGGGCTGAGGCTGAGGCTCTAGAGCCAGTTTGTCCTAGAGTAACACACAACAGACCTCTGCCTTCCATGGGCTCCAGCCCCTTCTGCCTGGCGCCCTGCTCAGAGTTGCAGCACCCAGTAGAAAGCAACTTTGGTGGTTGGCTGCTCCCTTTCTTCCTACTGTAGCCCCGGCCTTTAGGTTCATGTGGAGAGGGTTACAGGTACACTGGGGAGTCAGCTTGCCTGGTTGAAGCCTGGTTCCTTGTTTTCTGTGTGTCCTTGGAGAGGCAGCCTAGCTCCTAGCTCCGCTCCCCATCTGCACAGAGATCAGTAGTATTTCCTTCTCTGCGGCTGTTGTGAGCACTGATCAAGATCAGGCCCCTACAGGGCCCACAGTGGGGCTGGAGTAGTCCTCCCTTGGACGGTTAGTACCATTGCTGTTCCTGCCTTCTTAACGTCCTCACAGCACATGCATGTCTCTGTTTTACTTGACACACTCTCCTGCACTTCTTGTCCCCGTCCTTTCCCACCACCAGGCTGAGTTACTTGCAGGGATCATTTCATGGCTACAACTGCACCTAGTGCCCAGCCGGGCAGTGCAGGCTCCCAGGGAAGAAGAGGTGCTGCTGGCAGGCACCCCTGTTAAATAGGCAGGAGCTTTCTTCAGCTGCCGCCTAAATCCCCGCCTGTTTTCTGTCATGGAGCCACCCTTCCCACCCTTAAACCTGAGGCCCAGCCATTTGCTGGCAGCTTTCATCCAACTGTCCTTACACATGTGGACTCATTAACTCTGCCAGGCAGCAACTCATCTTTCAGACTCAATGTGTAATATGTCTGTGAGAGCATATGGCTTGTTATCAGTCACTGTGTGACCTTAGGAAAGTTCTTAACTTCTCTGTGCCTTAGTTTTCTTATCATTAAGTGGGTCAGTAGCAAAGAGATGGCCCACTTAAAGCTCTTGCCACCTCGTGCCTGGTCTGCACTAGACAGGCTCTCAGTAAACATGAGTGTTTTCCCCTTTGAGTTAGACTCTGTGGCCATCTGTGGCCACATGGACTCACCCCAGTCCCCTCCTGCTCTAAACAGGTCATAAAGAATTCTCCTGTGAAGACTTTTGCCAGTGCTACCTTCAGCTCCCTCCTGGATGTGTTTCTGTCCACAACAGTGTTCCTGATCCTCTCGGTCACCTGCTTCCTCAAGTATGGGGCTGCTGCCACGCCTCCTCCACCCGCTGCTCTGGCCGTCTTCAGTGGGGCCCTGCTGCTGGAGGTGCTGTCCCTTGTGGTCTCCGTCAGGTAACCACTGCAGGGCAGCTCTCTAGCCTTTAGCTCCCTCTTCTGGCTCCATGGTTTATGGCGGAACAGGCTGACTGCAGCACAGTGGGTCGGGGTCCTAAGCCAGCTGACCCTCCAGACTTGCTTCTGGGGACAGCCGTTGTTCCCTCCTCTCCCTGTGCCCCCACCCCACTGCACAGCCACCTCCTCGCAGGCGCTGGTGCTCCACACGTGTGGGAGCTGCTTAGTTGAGAGGGCTGGTGCCTTCTGCAGCCTCAGCTGCCACCAGCTCATCCCTGGATCTCCTAAATCAGAGAAGTGGGAAGATAGGAGATGGGGCAGGGTCATCAAAGATGACATAGTATGCAATGTGCAGTCCTATTATATGAAATGTCCAGAATAGGGAAACCAGCGGAGACAGAAAGGTTCCCAAATCTCTACTCAGTGGATCGGAAGCAAATGATAGGTGACAGCTGATGGGCAAGTGCCTCTTCTAAACAGGAAAGCCAGAGTGTGAACCCTCTGAAATCACAGACGTCAGTCTGCACAAGCTTGGATTTGATATGACACCAAAAGCACATGCAACAAGAAAAAATAGATAAATTGGACCTTATCAAAATTTAAAACTTTCATTCTACAAAGAACACCATGGAGGAAGTGAAAGAACTCAGGGAGAGGGAGAAATATTTGCAGGTCACCTGTGTGACTCATGTCTAATACCTAGAACCTGTAGTATGTGTTCATACGGCTCAGTAATGAAAAGGTGCATTTCCAAAAGACAAAGGGTTTGAGTAGAGAGCGGTGCCTTTCCAGGAAGCTGGCCCAGAGGACCGGCCCAGAGTTTGGGTAGCTCCGCCATTCTGACCAGGTGCAATGCACAGGGCATCCCGCTTAGGCACACGCCGATGGCACCACAGGCCTGCCTGCTGGGCACCTTGACAGCAGGTCCTTGCCCCGCACCCCCGTACCCAGCCCCATCACACTCAACAGCACAGCCTCTTGGCAGGGGCAAGCCCACTAGGAGCTAGGGGTAAAATGGATACAGGAGAAAGCCTGACCGTGGTTTTCTGCTAGTCTTAGCAATATCCCAATGTGGAAAAAAATAGTTCAGATTTGGTCCTGAGACTTCTACATACTAATCTTTCCTCTTTCAAGTGGGCAGGCTGGGTTCCTTGCCTCCTTCTGTCTGGCTACCCCCACCCCAAGCTCTTTGCTAGGACTGCAGAGGCCACACCCTCCTCCCTAGAGTGTCTCCACTGTCTCCAAAATTCCCTTCCAAGAACAAGCCCATGGTGCACAGCAAGGACCCTTCCTGACTATACCCCCACCCCCCACCCCCAGCCTCTGCTGCCATCTCTGCCCCTCCTCTCACTCCCAGAGAAGCTGCTTGCAGTCAAACTCTGCCCAGGGTCTGCTTCTGCCAAACCCAGACCAAGTCAGTTTTTGGCCCCTAGTTTGTTTGTTTTTCCTTTAAAAAAATCAATTTTATTGTGATAATTCACATATAATAAACTCATTCATTCAGGTGTAGAATTTGGTGGTTTTTAGTAAATTTACAGTTGTACAAACATGTAATTTTAGAACATTTCCATCACCCCAAAAGAAACTCTATAGCAGTCACTCACTCCCCCACACCCCAAAGCTTCTCTCTAACAGGGTTCTGTGGCTCTTGGCCTCTCTGAATTTACCATTGTCCCCATGACTTAACTGTATTTAACCATGAAGCCATTGCTCCCTGTCCTGTAGGCCCTGCTCCTCTGAGACACAAAGGGCTGCAGGTGACTGGGCCATCCCTGAGCGACTAGAGAGTAAGGCGCTGATCTGCCCCTACAAGAGCTTTGAATTGCTAGAATTCAGTGTGCTAGCAGCTGTCAAAGCCCAAGAGAGGGTGGACCTTAAATGGCTTCCCCTGACCCCTCTAAGGGCCATTTTTAGGATCCTAGATCCCAAAGAACCTGTACTGTAGAGTATGTAGGCACCCCAGGGAGCCAGTTCTGCAGCTTCCTCAGTGACTGGGTTGGGTTGTTACCTGCCTCACCCAAAAGCCTTCCCATATCTCTACTCAGGGTCTCCTTCCTCCAGTTCAGCACCAGGCGAGGGTGATACCAGCTGATCTTGTCCTTGGAACTCTGTGGTTTCAAAGACCATCAGGAAGGGCCTCCAGTGTCATCTCCTAGGAACAACTCAGCTCCCTCTGTCCCCCTTCAGGACCTCTGGGTTCTACCTGTGAGCATATTTATTTGTGGTATTCTTGGAGATAATCCAGGACCTCTGTTATCGTTTAGCTATCAGGAAGCCAGAGCTTCCAAGACATGAAAAGGTCCAGAGTATGCCTGAGTCCATGCGGGAGATGGCTGGAGAGTCACTAGTTCCTGGCCATGGCTGAGCTCAGCCAAAGCAGCTGACACACTATAGGAGTTCAGGGCCAAAGGCTCCAACCACAGGCATGTGGAAAGGCACATATTATTGTCCAGCGGTGGCTCCTGACCTCTCCAGAGCCAAAGGCAGTGGCCTGTCCTCAGCTCTCTGGAAGCAGGCTTAAAAGGAGGTCTGGTCTCCCCAGAATGTCTATGAGTCTCTGTCCCAATTGGACCCCCGTACCCTTCCTTTCCTCTGCCTCTCACCCACCCCTACCCAGAGAGCCCATCACTCAGCCAAGGCCAGTTTATCTCCTCACCTGACATTCTAGCCCACACTCCACTTCTGCCCTGTATAGAAAGTATTTTGTTAATATCACACTCCTGAGATGTACCACACTCAGAAACACAATTGCACAAGGAAGCAGTGGAACGCCTTCACTGCAGTGTGAAGGAGGAACAGAAAGGAAGTCACTTGAGATGGAGCCCTCAGTGCTTTCCCTCAGGCATGCCAGGGTGCTGCTAACTGGGGATTAACGGAGCAGTCTACCATTTGCCCTCATGCCCATAATCACTGCTGCACGTGTGACAATTGGAAACAGATTGTGGGTGTGGAGTTGGGGCCACGCACCAGGAGCTGAGGTAGGGGTGTGGAGTTGGGGGCCACACACTATGAGCTGGGTTTGGTCTGAAATGCTGAGTGACCTTTGATGTCCCAAACAAAATGAAGGACAATTTTCACTTATTTTGCAGAGGAATTGCATTCTCAGAGATTTGCAGGTTAATATCACCCAGAACTTCCTATTTGTGCATGGAATACAACCAGGTCCCAGGCTGCAACATTTTCACCACTGAGGGTATCTGAGGGCATGTGGCAGTTGTACAACAGGCAAGGCAGAACCTCCTCTATGGTTCTCTCCCATGGGTGGCAGGGCATCTCCATCCCTGGCTGCACTCACTGGAGGCCAGTATCAGCCCTCCACCATTGTGGCAACCAGGAAGGCCCCCAGAATGCCCCCAGGACCACCCCCATTCTGGATCTTCTGCCCATAGGTGGGCCAGGTGGCAGTGACGGTGCCCACTATAGCCCTCCTTAGGCCTGTAGCTATTCTTACATGCTTCCTTGGGCCCACAGAGGTGCAAGCTTGGCTTCTGACAAGCACATTTTACCCAAATGCAACAGTTGACCTTAAAGTCTGGGATGATGAGCTAAGCAAGGCCAGTTCACTTGCCTTTTACCAAGCGTGAGGGAGGTGGGCAGCAGTAGCATAGGACAGTAAAGGGCAGTGCGGGCTGGGCCCCTGCCAGGCTGACCCACTGGGCCCTCTGATCCTGCTTCCTCACCCCTCCCTGTCCCAGGATGGTGTTCTTCCTGGAGGATGTCATGGCATGCACAAAGCACCTGCTGGAGTGGATTGCTGGCTGGCTCCCTCGCCACTGCATTGGGGCTGTCCTGGTGTCCCTGCCTGCCCTTGCTGTCTACTCGCACATCACCTCTGAATTTGAGACAAATATACACGTAAGTAATGGCTAGTAATGTGATCCCCATACCCTGCAAGCTCTCTGACCTTCCGTGATCCCTCAACCTGATTACTTGGGACAGTCACTTAAATATCGGCCCTTAAAGAGGTGTGTTCTGCCACTGCCTGAGTGCCTTTTGAAACAGAGCATGCTGGAGAGATTCCCCAGTGGGCTCACATCCTCTCCAACTTTACTCGTGTCAAATTAGTTACAAATAGTCCCCACTTACCATAGTTCAGCTCATGATTTTTGATTTCGGAATGGTGTGAAGGCATACCCATACTATCATTCTGATTTTTACTTGCAGCGCAATAGTCAGTAAATCAATGGAAGTTGGTCAGCACTTGCTTATCAAACAGGCTTGGAGTTGGCTGACTTTGCCTGGCTGAAGGTTCATGGGGCAGTCTGAGCTGTGACATCTTGTAGGTTAGGTGGACTGAATGCATTTTGACTTAACAGTAATTTCCACATGTGAGTCTCATTGGGACTTAGCCCTATTGGAGGTTGAGGAGCATTTGTATTTTTATTGTGCTTTACAAAGAAGCGTCTGTCCCACCTTCCAAACGAGGTAAGATAATGTGTCAATCTGTAGAACCGGCACAAGTAACTTATGTGTGTCTGGATCAGCTGTCCCTGATCAAAAAAGGAGCTTTTGGGTTAAACTCCAAGGGCAAGCTAATATTGTTGGGGAAGATTATGTTTTTGGTTCACGTCAGAGTAACGTGAGCTTCCAGGGCAGGCTGATTGCATTTGGTGCTTTAACACCAAATGACACTTCACTAGGCTTTCAGCAGGGGCCTGAGGAAGTGTTTGGAAGGTAACTGACCCCATAGTGCTGCCCAGCAGGAGCACTTTCCTTTCTACCATAAAGATGTGTGCCATTTCCACACACCTGGAGGAGAGTCTCTGTGCCAACAAAAACTTGGAACCTAAGCACTGGGTCATAGGTCCAAAGAGGTGTGATCTGTCCTTTAAACCACTGGCTCACCAAATGTAAGCGCACCTGCACACAGATAGGCCATAAGCAGTATCAGGGATGCATTGTTGAACAGCTGTGGGCCGGTGGCAGGCTGGCTGGGTTGTATGGCCTGGGTGGGACATGAGCGCAACATGGCTGTCCTAACGCTGGCTTCTCTTACAGTTCACTGTGTCCACCAGCTCGGCAGTGCTGGTGGCCGTTGTGCACTACTGTAACTTCTGCCAGCTCAGCTCCTGGATGAGGTCCTCCCTTGCTACCATCGTGGGGGCTGGGCCACTGCTCCTGCTCTACATCTCCCTGTGTCCAGACAGGTATGCAATGGTGTCCTCAGCTGTGACCACCTGCCTGATGTCACTTAGGCTGTGCTTTCACGGTAGTGCTGATGCCCCTCTGCATGATGAATGTTTTCCACCAAGACCCAGAGTAGCTTCCAACACATATAGTATCCAAAGGTGCCCTAAGGTAATGTGTGAAAGAGAAAGAACAGTTTATAACAGCGTGCTGCCGATTGAGCATCAAGATCCAAAGTACAAAATTCTGAAAAAATCTCAAAACTTTTGAGCACCAACTTCATGCCAGAAGTCTGGTAGTTTGATGCACACCAACTATTCATGCACAAAATTATTTAAGATGTTATATGAAATTACCCTCAGTCTATGTATACAACATGTATGTGCAACATGAACAGATTTCCTGTTTAGACTTGGTTCCCATCGTAAAGACACCTCACTACATGTGTGCAAATATTCTGAAATCTGAAATTCTTCTGGCCCCGAGCATTTTGGTAAGGGATACTCAATCAGTGTGTGTTTGGATGTAGATGTTCTTGGGTGACTGCCCCATGTAGATAGAATGCAGTGGTAGTGTCTGAACGTACTTGCGGTGAATAAGTTGGAATCTAAGAAAGTCAGACCCAAAGCCATCTCAAAGGAGATGATCAGGACAGTGAAAAAGCAGAGGTCTAGGTGGTGCAGAAAGGAAGAGGAAGCAGAATTAACCTGCTCTGAAGTAGGGTACACATTCCAAGATAGGTGACAGACTTTGAAGCCTGAGAAATGAAGATGTAGGGTGATTAGAAGGTCACCATGGTTCCCTGTTATAATGTGAGACACAGGAACAACCTCCAGTCACTGCATATGTCTTTGGTCTTGAAGTCCAGCCATGGGCTGAGGAGGATATTAAGTTTCTGCACTCAAGATGGCCTTCACTGCTGGGTGCTGAGGAGTAGGGAGCATGGTGTGGACAGAGGCAGGAGTCCTGTGGTGACCTCTGCAGACAGAACCAGTTCTGATGTGCCGGGTTTCTGTTTTCACGACTAAAAGACTCAGGGTCACTCCAGTTGAACTAGGCTGACTGGACTGCACAAAATAACCACACAGGAGACACAAATACCTTTTTCTTTGGGGTCACTGTGACGGCTTCTCTGACCTTAAGGGTCCGCAGGAAGAGAGAGAGTGAGAGCACGCGCTGACCCCTTTTATTGAGGAGAAGCTATTCAAATGAGGCAAGGAGTCAGGTTTCAGGGGACTGAGTCTATCTTCATGATGTCCACTGTCAGCAGGTTGACTGACACCTGGGTAGGCCACACCCAAGGGCACAGTAAGAGGAGGGGACACACACAAGGCACTTCCATGGAAGATTCTATCCTAAACAGGGCAAGGGGTTATATTACAAAGGAACAGCTGAGCATAGCTCCACCCATGGGGCTGTAGCAAGACACACCCATGCAGGAGACACCAACCCTCGAACCCAAGAAGGGTGGGGAAAGCTCTGCCACATTTCTGTGACTGAGCACCTCAGCACCCAGCCGGGGAGTGTGACTCAGTCACGTGGGTTGGTCTCCCACACTGATGGGGCTGCAAAAATTGAGAAGTATATCCAAGGGCCACCAGAGGGACATTTAAATTACACTGTGCAAGCAGGGGCCAGTGAGGCCCCTCTCTTTGGTGGGTTCTACTAGTTGAATGATGTTTGGGTCTCAGTTTGTGAAAACAAGTCTCAAATTGCCTGTTGCACATCTGCAACTGGTTTTGTGGCTTTTACCTTTTGTCAACTAAATATGTACTTTGAAACAATGATACCTCAGTGGGATGCACACAGTGAAGTATTTTATTTTAAAAAATCAATGATCTCTTAAACTAATAAGCTTATTTATATAACAAACCTCTGCTAAATATTAGACTTCTTCTGTAACTTCTCATAAAAATGTTTCACTATTAGCATGTATCAAAGAACTATCTGGACATAATCTCAGAGGGTTTAAGAAGCAGGTTATTTAGAAGTGCATGAGCCACTTCATTGTGTTTGGCAAGATATCTAAACATCCCAGTTCCCCAGTTTCTTAAACTATTATATCCACCACCAGAGAGACCCCACATTTCAAGGTGCCCATCTAGGAGTGGCATATCTGTCACTGAGGACCACTTCTTTAGTCAGTATAAAAGCACACAGTAAGTGGATAGGAATATAGCTCAGTTGGTAGAATGCTTGCCTCATATGCACAAGGCCCTGGGTTTAATCCCCAGCATCACACACACACACACACACACACACACACAAAGTGCACAGTGGGCCACTTCATCCCAATATTGTCAAATGTCATATTAGTAGCACATTTTTTGGTATTAAACAAGCAGTGGCCAAAAAATGCACAGATTAAATGTCTCTCCTCAATTTACTTAATAGTAATGTTATGAAAGATATTCAAAGTAAGATCAAATAGGGACTTTAAAGTTGAATTGCCTGTTGGTATTTGAAAGGAACTGTAATAAATAGTTAAATACTTAAAGCAAAGTAAAGCTCACTTTTACCTTCCTGAAGACATGGTCCATGACAGGCTCTGCACCAAAAGCTAGAAATTTGGCCACCAACTTTTAACCTAAGAGCTGTCACAGAGGCCTCATTGCCATTCATGGTAACATTTAGTCACAGCTGTGGGACTTTTCCCCATGGGTCCAGGAAGACAATGTGATAGGGATTACCACATTGCCTTCCTGCCCAGAATCCAGGTGGCAGGTCCTGGATAAGGCTTCGGGGGCTGGAAGGTGAAACACCCCCGACCCAGGATGCCTCTGCCCAGAAGATCCTCTGAGCCCTGAGCCCGCTCAGCCCCTTGTCATTGCCAGGCCTTGCCAGGATGGGGAGCAGGGGAGCAGGTGGGTAGGGAAACAAAAACATAAACTTTCACTGAAGAGGAGGGGCTTCAGAGAGCCAAAGCTCTCCAGCTTGGGGGGACATAGGAGTACAGGAAGGGGCGGTCCCTGGGAGGATAGCCATTCCTTTAGTCGATATCCACTGGAAAGTTGCTTCAACTCTTCTTAGGTGACTTTCTGTTATGCCTTTTTGCTTTCTTAACAGTATTTTTCTGCATTTTAATTACAGTTCCATAGTAATTTCACCCCTGGATGCAGCACAGAATTTCAGGTAAGCTTTTAACGTGATGTCTATACCTGGACAAATGAAAGTGACTGTCTCATTACTGCTGATTTCAGAGCTTCCTGAAAGCAGACATACCACAAATAAAATAAACAGCATATACATTCTTTAAAAGTAAAGTAAAAATAACTACTTGTTTAAATATTATATCATAGTTATATGTCTTATTGAAAAAATAGAATGACTTTTTTGAGATAGGGTCTCTTTATGTCGCCCCAACTGGCCTTGAATTCCTGGGCTCAAGTGATCCTCCTGCCTCAATCTCCAGAGTGCTAAAATAATTATTCAGACATGTATTAGAATTCGTTTAATTTTATGTAAGTCTTTACAGAGGAAATTTCACAAATCAAGGAAAAATAGTTATTTTTCCCCTAAAACAATGTTAGGCCTTGCTTGCTTTACTATAAACATCAAAATAAATTCTATATAAATTGAAAAGTCAAAAATAAAAAGCATATATAGGGCTGGGGTTGTGGCTCAGTGGTAGAGCGCTTGCCTTGTGTGTGCAAGGCCCTGGGTTCGATCCTCAGCACCGCATGAAAATAAATAAATAAAAGGTATTGTGTCCAACTACAATATATATATATGCCTATATAAAATCTAGAAAAAAACAAAATTAGTTTTCAAGCCTCTAAGACAGAGATAATTTTCTAGACTTATTAATAATAAATAGGATCACATGGGCTAGGGTTGTGGCTCAGTGGTAGTGTGTTTGCCTAGCACATTTGAGGCCCTGGGTTCAATCCCCAGCACCACATAAAAATAAACAAAATAAAACTATTGTGTCCAACTAAAAAATAAATATTTTTTAAAAATTAAAAATAAATACATAAATAGGATCACAAAGACCAAATGACAAACAAGAAAGAGAAAGAAAAAGTAAACAGAAAAATATTTGTGGGACTATTATATAAAGAGCTAATTAAGGCCTACACAGATAAAAGACAGAACAACAGAAAGTTCATTAAAGAGGAAATGTGAGCAGAAGATAAATACGGATACATTGTCAGTATTGTCAATACTGAAGTCATCTCACATTTAAATACCTGAACAATTCTCTTTGGTCTTTTAAATTAGACTTTTGAAAAGTTGTAATATGAATATCCAGAGTAGGTGATGTTCACTTAATTGTCACCATAACCTGATATGTTAGGTGACTTTGTTTCTGTCCCTGAAGCTGAAGCTCAGAGAAGTTGAGGAACCTGCCCTGTCCACAGTCACACAGTTAGTCATAGGCTCCCTCATTCCTAGGGTATGGCCTTTCTACCATGCCTCATTACTTCTCAGAATGTTACAGCAGTTTCTGGAAGTAATTTGACAATTTTTTTTTTTTTAATATCCGGGATTGAATTCAGGGGCACTCGACCACTGAGCCACGTTCCCAACCCTATTTTGTATTTTGTTAGAGACAGGGTCTCTCTGAGTTGCTTAGCACCTCACTTTTGCTAAGGCTGGCTTTGAACTCAGGATCCTCCTGCCTCAGCCTCCCAAACCACTGGGATTACAGGTGTGCGCCACTGTGCCCGGCAACAGTCTTTTTAAAAAGTCTTTAAGGGCTGGGGTTGTGACTCAGCGGTAGCGCGCTTGCCTAGCATGTGTGAGGCACTGGGTTCTATTCTCAGCACCACATACAAATAAATAAAAATAAAGGTCCGTCAACAACTAAAAAAAATTTTTTTAAAAAGTCTTTAAAATGTTTATAGGCCTTAACCTAGCAGTTCTTTCTTGCCTATTTTCTGAGGAAAGAATTCATCATAGGATAAAGGCTGTATGCCCCCAAATATTAATCACAATGATGATTAATATTGAAAATTATCAGCAACTTCAGTTCTCAGTACAAAGGAATTAAATTATGACACACCCAAATAGTACAACTGTTAAAATACAGCCAATATGGGAAATGTGTATGATATTTATTATGTGAAATTGTGTATGTACTATAACTATTGCTAGGTATTGTATTTTACTATATTTGTTAAAAAAATTGTAAGTCATTTATTTATTTATTTTTAATATTTTTTGAGTTGTCAATAGATCTTTATTTTATTTATTTATTTATGTGTGGTGCTAAGAATTTGAACCCAGTATCTCATACATGCAAGGCAAGTGGTCTAGCACTGAGCCACAGACCAGCCCAAGACATAATATTTATGAAAAAATAATGAGTGATGATTTACAACTACAGTATTTAAAAACAAAACATCTAGCATCATTTTTAAGTTACTGTTTTAGTGACGAGTGACACAGGTACAGGAGAGTCCCCAGGTCCTAACAGTACAACATAGTGCATTTCCCCCAAGTGAACACAGACCAAGAAACAAAACATCACCAACACCCAGGTGCCTGTCCAACCCCTCCTGGTGACACCCCGTTCCTCCACCGGGTGCAGATTTTAAAGTGCTCCGAAACACCTTGAAATGTTAACAAATGCCACATTTAGCTGGTTAGGACAGCAAGTGATCCTGGTTTTCTATTTTTTTTTTTTTCTATTTTTAAATCCCACTTCCCCATGATAATGCATATACTATATTCTACATTAGCTTCCATGTGTTATTTAATGTCACACATGGAAGTATCCAGTCATGAGTTCTCTTGCATTGAATCTCCCCAAATTCCTCTTTTTGAAACCAACCTTTGCTGTTTGAAGTTAGGAGTGGGGTCATTACCCTGCTCCATCTACCTGGGGGAGAGAGTGAGGTCATAGCCTGGCAGTGCCTCTCTTACCTGCTTGTTTCAGGTGCCCTCTATAACACTGGTTCTAGGAGAGGGAAAAATCCAGCAGTGCAGAGTTAGTCCCCAGCTTGCAGCACCTAAACTTCACTGTTTCTGTGCTTTGAGATGGCAGGAAAGTAAACCCACGCAACCATTCTTATTTTCACTTCCAGCACAATATAAGATAAGTTACATGAGGTGTTCAGCCCTGTGTTATAACACAGCCTTTGAGTTAGATGAGTTTGCCCCACTATAGGCCCATGTAAGTGTTCTGAGCACGATGCAGGTACGTGAGGCCAAGCTCCGGTTTCAGGAAGCTCAGGGGTATAAAATGTATTTTTGACTTATAGTATTTATGATGATTTGTCAGGACACAGTCCCACTGGAAGTTGAGTATCATCTGTAGTTCATTTGCCTGTCCTACCTGCCCTGCCCCTGCTCTCCCCCTCTTCTGCCCACAGGGTATTGGCCACACCAATCTCCAGGGTCAGCGACAGCTGGCTTTTCTTGCAACAAAGCAGGAAAAGTTTAGAGAGCAGTACACAAACTCAGGCGAGGAAACCCATCTTCTCCATGGAGATTTTAAATGTCTCCTTGTACATTCAGGTGATGTTTAACTTCAGTGGCACCTAAACAGGGCCATTCCTCGCTGTCACCACTGTGGAGAACCAAAAGGAAACCCGACTCCAAACCATAAGGACAGGAGGCATGTTTCTTCTGATCTCAGATCTTGGGCTACTCTGCTTAAAAGCCAGCCAGAGGGTGTCAGGAGCTGGTCCAGTCCACGTTTTACTCACCTAAAATAAGTAGTTGCTTTGCTGAGCACTTCAGATTCATAGTATATAGTGTCATTTGTGTCAATGACAGTGAGGAGAATGAATAAGTATGCGATATCTTACTATAGAGGACCTATGGGCCCCAGTTCATAGGTGTTCAGCCAAAGCCTATGTCAGGAGCCCCCAAGAGCAGCTCACAGGACTGAGCACATCCTCATGCTCATGGTTAGAGGCCATTGCAGTGAAAGGACGCAGAGCAAAATCAGCCAGGGGAAAACTGGTTCCGGGAGCCCTCTCCTAGTGTCATCACAGGGAATGTGCTCATTCTCCACCACGACTGTGGCTACACTTGGGAAACCCAGGGAGACTTGCCACCAAGGGTTAGTAGGGGTGGTGACATGGGCAGCCTGTGCCCAGCACATACCTAAGGTTCAGGCTTCCACAAGGAGTGCAGGAGTCACCATACCTGCCTATCTGTTCACGCACTTACATGGCACTGCAGCCCAGGAGTGGTGGGACCCCAGATCCAAGCGCCCTGAGCCCAGCCTGGGCCACCTTGCAAACAGGCCCTCCTAAGGATTGCAACCTTGCGCCCACTGATCTCTTTTCTGCACAGAACCTCAGGTCAGAAGGGACTTGGCCATACTCCAGCCCACCTTCCCAGTTTCCACACAAAGAAATTGGGACCTGGCAAGGTGGCATGGCTTGCCCAAGGTCCCAGAACTCTCTGAATAGCCCAGGGGTTCCAGTCCAAGGTCAGGGCTTTTGAGAGACAGTGCTTTGAGGAGGACCTTCATGGCCATGCCAAAGACACTGTTTTAAATAACCTTACGTCACAAGTAGCGGTAAGACTTACTAAAAACTTTGACCAAAAAAATGAGATTTCTGTGTCAAAGAGCTATTGAAACTTCAGATGCTTCAGTAACAGATACAGTTATGTTTATATAGTGACCAAGCCCATTATTACCTAAAATCTAGTAGTCTACCTTGGGCACTTTACAAATACTTCAAGGTGTAACATTTATTGAACAGAACAATCACAGCATTGTTAATGAAAGGGAGGGAAGGAGGGAAGAGGACATAAGGAAGAACGCTGGGGTTACAGGCATATGCTACCACATCTAGTTTGTATATGAGTATACTCAATATTAAAGTATATTCATATATTCTATCTATCTATGTATTTATCTATTTATTTTTATTTTTCAGTATGAGGGATTGAACCAGAGGCCCCCTACCACTGAGCCACACCCCCAACTAAAAATTTTGAGACAGGTTCTCACTAAGTTACCCAGGCTGGCCTTGAACTTGTGATCCTCCTGCCTCAGCCTCCTGAGTAGCTGGGATAACAAGCTGCCATGCCTACCTGTATTCTTGTTTTTGTTTTTGTCTTTTTTGAACTTTTTTTTAGTTCTACATGGACACAATATCTTTGTTTTGTTTATTCATTTTTATGTGGTGCTGAAGGTTGAACCCAGTGCCCCACACATGCGAGGCAAGCACTCTGCCACTGAGCCACAACCCTGGCCCTATTCTTGTTTCTTTGATGTTGTCTTCAGTTACTTTGGCAAAACAGAATTAACCCAGAATAGGGGAAAATATATTTTGCAAAACTTTAATACAAGTAGATAGTAGAGAACTTAAAGAAATTCTTTGAAAATTAAAATTCTATTGGATCAGAAACCTAAGAAGCACATATATCAGATACTATTAAACTTCCTGGGCATGGTAATGATGTTGTGGTTACACAGGGAAATGCCCTCATCTTGGAAGGTGTTTACCAGAGTAGGACTGGAGTGTCACGTTAGCAGCAACTTACTTTCACAATGCTTAGCAAGGCTGATATTATAGCTCAGTGGTAGAGGATTTGCCTGGTATGATGAGGTCTGGGGATTGAACCCAGTGCTGCCAAAGAGAGAGAGAGAGAGCAAGGGAGAGAGAGAAGGGGAGAGAAGTTTAACAAAACGTGTGTGTATGTGTGTGCGTGCGTGTTGAGAGAGAAAGGCAAAGTGCCAAAATGCTCACAACTGTGGGATCCAGGTGAAGAATATAGGATTCTTTTACTAGATTTTTAACTTTTCTGTAAAGTTGAGATTTTTCAAAAGAAAAAGTTGAGAGAAAGGAAAAGATGTCTAAACAAAGCTAAAGACTTGTGGGGCAAAAGTCATCACACTGTACTGATTAAAGACTTAGTTGCTGAAGTCGCTGTCTATTGCTCCATCTCTGCGGCCTGCTGCAGAAGCAGAAGCAGGCTGTCTGTCGTACAGCAGCTTGAAGTTGTTGAGGGTTGAATTCCGCCCCTGCGGCGTAGGGTGCTGGTTAGCTGGGCAGCTTCAGAGCTCTCCCTTAACAGATGCACTTAGCAGGATGTCCTTTCTCATCTCTCTGCTCCCCAGTGCCAAGAGGAGCCCATGCAACAGCTCGCTGCCACAGGACAGCAGCGAGCCAGCCAGCCTCGTGGGCAAGGAGCTCATTCTTGCCTTCTTCCTCCTGCTCCTGCTGGTCTGGTTCCTGAACCGAGAGTTCGAGGTCAGCTACCGCCTGCACTACCATGGGGATGTGGAGGCAGATCTCCACCGCACCAAGATCCAGAGCATGAGGGACCAGGCCGACTGGCTGCTGAGGAACATCATCCCCTACCACGTGGCAGAGCAGCTGAAGGTTTCCCAGACCTACTCCAAGAACCACGACAGCGGAGGAGTGATCTTTGCCAGCATCGTCAACTTCAGCGAGTTCTATGAGGAGAACTACGAAGGGGGCAAGGAGTGCTACCGCGTCCTCAATGAGCTCATCGGGGACTTCGATGAGCTCCTGAGCAAGGCGGACTACAGCAGCATTGAGAAGATCAAGACCATTGGGGCCACATACATGGCTGCGTCGGGGCTGAACACTGCCCAGTGCCAGGAGGGCGGCCACCCACAGGAGCACTTGCGGATCCTTTTCGAGTTCGCCAAGGAGATGATGCGTGTGGTAGACGACTTCAACAATAACATGCTCTGGTTCAACTTCAAGCTCAGGGTCGGCTTTAACCATGGGCCCCTCACGGCGGGTGTCATCGGTACCACCAAGTTGCTATATGACATCTGGGGGGACACTGTCAACATTGCCAGCAGGATGGACACCACTGGGGTGGAGTGCCGCATCCAGGTGAGCGAAGAGAGTTACCGCGTGCTGAGCAAAATGGGCTACGACTTCGACTACCGGGGGACGGTGAATGTCAAGGGCAAAGGGCAGATGAAGACCTACCTTTACCCAAAGTGCACGGACAATGGGGTGGTACCCCAGCACCAGCTGTCCATTTCCCCGGACATCCGTGTCCAGGTGGATGGCAGCATCGGGCGATCTCCCACGGACGAGATCGCCAACCTGGTGCCTTCTGTCCAGTACTCAGACAAGACATCCTTGGGCTCTGATGACAACGCACAGGCTAAAGACCTGCACCTGTCTTCTAAAAGACCCTGGAAAGAGCCCATCAAGGCCGAAGAAAGGTGTCACTTTGGCAAAGCCATAGAGAAGGAGGACTGTGAAGATGTGGGAGCGGAAGAAGCCAACGAGCTCACCAAGCTCAACGTCTCCAAGAGTGTGTGAGGCAGCGCCCAGAGCTGCCCGAGGTGCTCTGTTCGTCGAAACACAATAATATTTGTATTTGGCTGTGGCACTTTCTAAGCGCCACAGTTCCTGTCCCGGATGTGGTGTTATGTGGTCATTTCAGCCCTAATTCTGTGTGGATCACAGTTATTCAGGGTTCGTTTCCATCCATTTCTTCTTTCCTTTGCTCCCTTCCTTGGAAATCGCCCCCCTTGGGGATGATCCGTTCAGCTGCTGAAGGAGAACAAGTGCCTTCAGGGTGGGCTCGCCTCCAGGCCAGGACGGCGGCCAGTGGGGTTGTGGTTCTGGGTACTGTTTGACTTTTGAAACAGAAGCTGTGGTTAGATCTCATTTTTATTGCCTTTTCTCACAAGACACTTTTTGTTGTTGTTGGCTCATACAGTGTTTCCAAGTTTATTTTTTTCTGTATACGTGATAGTGTTTCCCAGTCACCTGGCCTTTCTCAGTAAGCACACACACGCACACACATTTGCATCTATGAATCTGGTATAAAGTGCCAGTTATTCGCTGGGATGGGGTAGAGAGGGGAGCATGGGCTGAAAAAGCCCAGAAGCCCCTCCTGCCTTGCTCTCCCAAGCACCTGGGCCCTCCCGCGCATGGGCCATGGGTGGACCGCTCCCCACATCAAGTGATTTCAGGGTTCACCCGCATGCAGGCCAAGATTTCAAATGCTCACCAGGCACAAAGCTTGTAAACCCAGGCCTCAGGTATCTCAAAGCCCTTCTTCACCCTGACCCTCCACCGAGGGGGTCTTCCAGTGGAAGTGAAGGTGTTTGTCTTAGAAGCTGACTCGTAAGAGGGGGAAGCTCAAAATAAATGTCTGAGGGTTGCAGTTATTTATTTATTTATTTATCAGGATGTGTGTCTGGGGAGGGGGTGCTCGTGTTTTGATGGAGGGAAATAGGCCATGGGAGGGCAGGGGGTTCCAAAAGGGCGCAGCAGACCATCAAGGACAAGATGTCCCTTGTGTTTCCACCACAGGGGGCCAAGCTGCAGCCCAGGGTGCTCCCCCTTGTGGAGATTCAGGCCAAAACTAGCTGGGCTTTAGGCAAGCCCATGCAGGTGGCGCAGGCGCTGTCTTGGCTTCACAAGTTCAGGAAGTTCCTCGATCTTTCCCACTCCACAGCTGCTTGGCCGACTTAGTCTGGACTTAATCACGGCAGGATGCAGTCTCCTGCATCCTCTCACACCAAGTACCTAGGGGCAGAGCCATCTGTCCAGCCAGCAGGAGGCAGAAAACCTAAGAAAAGTCGCATCTGTCCTCTTGGGTGCCATACCAGCTAGTAGTCATGTTTTGCCACATTGAGTCTGAAGTTGATGTTGAATGGAACTCAAGCCACAGTTGCCCTGTCCTGGTCATTTTGCCCAGTGACACTGGCATGTGGTTCATGATGCCACTGAAGACCAGCTTGGCACCTGTCAAGGTCCGCACACCGCGCTCTGTGTTCTCTCGCTGGTGAACCTCACTGTTAATTCTCACATCACTCCCCCCCAGAGACAGAATCTGCTGCTTCTGGCCTGGTGACATCTCTGTTCTGGTCAGTCACCTTGAGGCGACACCTGGGACGGCCACCCAGCAGTGCCCCAGTCCTGGGACTGTGACTGTGAGAGTTTCCTTCAGGTTTGACTGTCAGTTTGTCTGTCTTCCAATTCTAAAGAAAGGATGGTTGTGACAATACCTCTTAATTCTGAAGAATGTATTCTTATAAAACACCGCAGATTTTTTTTTCTTAAGAAACACTACCTGATGCTTTCCTTGCACTAGGGGTGGAAGACACGTCAGCCTTTCTCCTATCAGTATTAGGTGTATATCCGAGGGTCATTCTCTCTGCCTTCCACTTATAAGCTGTATAGCTTTGAGGGACTGGCTGGTTGCCAATATCATCTCTCTCAAAATGTGCCCTACCAGCCATGTGTGGTGGCACATGCCTATAATCCCAGCTATTTGGAAGGCTGAGATAGAAAGAATGAAAGTTGAGATCAGCCTCAGCAGCTTAGTGAGACCCTGTCTCAAAATAAAATAGGAGGCTGGGGATGTCTCTCAGTGCTAGAGCAGCCCTGGGTTCACTCCCTAGTACCACCAAATAAAAATATAAACGCTCTACCAGGTTCATCTCTACACACACTTCTTTTCTTCCCTGTCCAACTGTTTCCCTCCCCTGCTACAAAGGTGTTTGTGACTCCTCATCTCCCCTTAACCTCCAAGCTGCAGACCCAGGGGAGAGAATCATTAGCCTCTGGTTCAGCACTGGGCAAATACAGCCTCTGAGGACAGGCCGCTTACACAGAGAATGAGTGGTCTTTAAAGCACCAGGGCTTCCTAAACCACCCTGCAGACAATCTCTCCTCTCTGGCATCCCTGATGCCCTGCTCCAAAGCATACCTCAATGCAGAGCCACAGAATCTCTGTGCACACTTGCCATCCACTGGCACTGAACTAGTGGCTGTCTCTGGAGGTGGTGGAGCTTCTGACTGTGGGCTTGGGTGCCGGGGAGGTGTCCTGCAGGTGGCAGTACTTCTTAAGAACTTAGGGTAGGAAGCAATATGTCAGAATTGAATGTGTGTAAATAGTTGCTTTGAATTGCAAATGCTATTTTCTTCATGGCCCCAGATCAGATCAAATTTTATATATCTATATGATCAACAAGCACATATGATTTTACCCAGTGCAGACAATGTAGAGCACCAGTTGTGAGCCCTTAAAAAGCTTGAGAGTCCCTCAGATTGCACCACACCTGCACACAGCTCCCTCAACACTGACTTGACTTCACTTGCGGGGACTGCACCTGCACATTTGCACGTGACATGGAGAGCCAAAGGCAGTGTGCCACCCCTCACCTGGGCTGTGATCACTTGCACTTTCCAAAGATACTTCTGCATTTACATTTCAAAGTTTTCAAGGTAAGCATTTTTGGTTGTTTCAAAAATCACATCATGCCTAGAATCTGAAATGAAATCAGCGAGAACCCACTGTTTGCATTTTCCGTATTTCCTTTGCTCTGCTCTTTTTAAATTGTTAATTCCAAAAATTTCAAAATGCATCCACTGAAGAAATGGACATTAAAATATTCTAAAATCTAACTTTGGTGCCTGGCATTTCCTCATTGAAAAGATGAGCACCTCTTAGAGACTGGGCAATCCTCCTTAAACTCATCGTGTTTTCTGCGGTTTATGGCTGAAATGGAAAGATTTGCTTTTCCTTTACAATGTAATTTCAAAAATCAGGCAACTAAAAAAGGTGTGTGTGTGTGTGTGTGTGTGAGAGAGAGAGAGAGAGAGAGAGAGAGATGTCTCTCTCTGTGTGTGATATGTTCCTTTTTACATGGGATTTAAAAATTAGAATCAAGTTGTAGGACACACTGTGCTTGTGATAATTCCCCACTTCACTGGGACTTTACTTAAAATAGTTGTCCTGCAGCATCTTAAGAAACCAACTGAGAAAAACAAGTAGGTTTTCTGAGATTGCCCCAGCATTCGCCCTCATGGTGATCATAGATACCTGCACCATGGTGGGCCTGATGTTTGGGGGAAGCCCCTAACCCATCCAAAATCTGTTTAAAAGCAGAATCTCTTCCTAGAAAAAGGCACCTCCATCTTGCACAGATCTTAGGGGCTCCCAGCACCTCCAATCCATGTATCAATAGGCCCAACTATGTATGTTTTAGGGGTTAGAGCCTCTTACTCTAAAAGGGCTTCACTGGTGAGTAAAATATTTATGAACAACTCTGGGGGCACAAAGATTCTCTTGTGGACTCAGAAGGGAGATGAGGACTCAGCCTCCAGCACTGCTCAGTGGCTCTGGCTCCCAGGGTCCATCTGCTCTGCTAGGGCAGTGCCAAAGAGTGTGGTAAAGTGTGCTCTCCTCAGACTGTGCAACGGGCAACCCAGGCTGAGGAATAAGGATCTCTGCTGCGTGGAATATCTTGTGGGAAGGTGCTTCCCAGGAACTTGGAGGATTTTTCAGTTAAGCAACTTCCAGTCTTTGCAGTTAACCCCAGAACTTACGGTTTGTGGTTTCTCTTTTGTCAGAGACCTTTTTTGCATGCAGTTTCCTTTCCCTGCTGTGGGACTCTACCATTATGGCCATCTGGAATAAATCCCAGGAACCAGGAAAAGGAAGCTAGCAGGAGGGAGAGGCAGGTGAGAGGAAGTGATTCAGAAAGAGCATTACATGTGTACATTCTAAATCTTCCCAAGTATCTTTTTTTTTTTCATACAATTCTTTTGTAAAAATGTTTGTTGTTAAAATAAAATGACTCCAAAGAGTTGTTACTGAATGTTAGAGTGATACGCTTGGGGAATTCTCATCTTCCTCCAGGCCTGAAAGTCTGCAGGAGAGGTGAATTAAGTGATCCAAGAGCCTGTTGAAATCTCATTCATCAACAGTAGCGATTCTTAACCTTTTTGGGGGGACAAGGGAACTTTCAGAGCCTTTGATAATTTAATGAAAGTTGTGGTTTTTTCCTCCAGAAAAAAAAAAATGCTTGCTCATAAATCAGCCCTCTTGAAGTTTCATATGATTTCAAGAATTATTCATGGATCCCAATAAAGTCCCCTTGACCTGCAATAACCAGAGGAGTGAGGAGTTTTCATCTTTAGATGAAGTGTCCAACCATTTTTGGAAACTCCATTCAACATGGTGATGTTGCTCAATTATTTCTTTTTTGTTTCTTTTCTTTCTCACTCATTCTTTTTTTTTTTTTCTTGGTACCAGGGATTGAACCCAGGAGTGCTTTAACACTGACTTATATCCCCACCCTTTTTATTTTTTGAGGCTGGATCTCATTAAATTGTGAAGGACCTTACTAAGCTCCTGAGGCTAGCCTTGAACTGGCAATCCTCCTGCCTCAGCCTACTAAGTTGCTGGGATTGCAGACATGTGCCATCACATCCAGCTATAGATACATTTCTTATAAAATTACATGTTTTTATCAAATTATATTGCAGAATTTTATGTCTGCGTTGTCTAAGTATATTTAAGGAGCCACTCAAATATCTTTTCAACATATAAATACTAAGTCAAATTACTTTCAACAGTAAAATTCAGCCAGTATTTATGGAGTGTCTACTGTGTGCCATATAAATCTTCCAAACTCCCTTTATTTAGGGTGTTAGACTTGCTGTGACTTGAGCACATTTGAGAAGCAGCTGTGAATAGAAATGCTTTTCATGATTGCTGTCCCACAATGAATTCCAACAGTAAGCTGAAGGGGGCTTTCAGATACCTGGAGTCCCATCGTGACATTCGTATAATTGGCATTTTTAAACCGTGGTTCCTAGGTCATCTGTGACCCTCAGATTTCTGTCTTGGTGGTGATTTTGTGGAGCACTGGATCTCTATAGAGAGCAACAGATGGAAGACAGTGGAGCCTATCCCACATACGTTTTACCTTTAAAACAAATGCTTCCCGGGGAGACTGGGGTGCCAGGATGAGAGTCTCCAAACTGGGCCAACAAGTCCTGGCTCAGCCTGGCTTGTCCAGAGCGAGTCTTTCAGGAACAACAGCCTACCCTGTGCGGACTCCCCCTCACCCTAAGACGAGCTCTGAAGATCAAAGACCAGATGTCAATGCTGGCTGGCTCAACCCTGCACAGAGGAGGCAGAGCCTCTGACGGGATCTACCTCCTCGCCTAGCCAGAGTTTTGCCCTCTAGGTTGGTTGGGGAGGGTTTGGAGTTGGTGATTCTGGGAAATAGTCGCACGGGGGAGGGAATGAGACGGACCCCGATGCTCTGCTTGCAACTTCAGGGCCTCAAGCATCCTTGTGCCTGATGGGCTGCGTAGGCTTTGACCTGCAGACTGGCCTGCGGGGCACTTCAGGCCTTGGGCCAGCCCG